AAGAAGAACCTACTGCGGGCCGGTTTATTTCCGGGTTGCGGTGAAGGTTGCCCATTCTGTGCTATTTCCCTATCTGATTGTCCCCTGCTGAGGTTAGGCATCCAAGGCCTAATGGATAGCAAGGAGATTCTATTCAAAAAGACTGTTGTTCAATTGGTTCCGATGAAAGAAGTTTCCGTGATTACCATCTTCAAAAATCCAATCAAGGCTCCCCCGAAGAAGCCTATTCATATCTTGACAGTTGCGCCTGTGATCATTACTGTTCCGGGACCCCTCTCCTACGTATCTGATAAAGCTGTCCCCTGGCATTATGGGGCAGACGTGTATGTAAATGGAATCAAGCAAGAATTTGACGCTAGTGCCAGTATCTGCGATATCACCGGTCCAGCTAAAGTCACCCGCAGTGGCAGGCTCTTCTCGCCTGACATTGCGCCGCCCGCTATTCGAAAACCCCTCCTCATAAAACCTGCAAGTTTACCAAGTCCTGTTGCTGATCAAATTATGTCCCCTGCTGCCGAGTCATCAAATGCTCGGGGCAAAGGGATTGAAGAAGAGCCTGCCCGGATGGAGGCGCCAATACCCGTAAATGCTGAGGCCTCCCGACAAGAAATGGAGGAAATTCTTAAAATAATAAAGAAAAGTGATTTTAATGTTGTCGAGCAGTTGGGGCATACACCCTCCAAGATCTCTCTGCTCTCCTTATTGCTATGCTCCGAGGCTCATGCTAAAGCCTTGATCTCATTTCTCAAGACGGCCCATGTGCCGCAAGAGACGTCTGCAGTCCAGTTCACTGACTGCATAGCGAATCTGACGGCGGACAACGGTTTGGGTTTTTCAGATGCTGACCTGACCGCAAAAGGGAGAGACCACAATGATGCCCTGCATGTCTCTATCGAATGCAGGGGCACTACTCTGGCACATGTATTGGTGGACACTGGTTCTTCCTTGAATGTTCTTCCGAAAAAGGCTTTAGACCGTCTGGATTATGAAGGCCTGGAGTTGAAACCCAGCAATATCATCGTCAGGGCCTTTGACGGTTCCAAAAGGATGGTTCATGGAGAGGTTAACATCCCTATCCGTGTGGGCTCTCAAGTGTTTGACTCTACCTTTTACGTGATGGATATACGTCCGTCGTATTCTTGTCTGTTGGGTCGACCTTGGATCCATAAAGCTGGGGCAGTGACCTCCACCTTGCACCAGAAGCTGAAGTATCCCGTCAGGGGAAAGATCGTCACTGTACAAGGAGAAGAGGAGTATATGGTGAGCCATTTGAATTCCTTCAGGTACATCGAGATGGACGGAGAGTTCATTGAAACCCCCTTCCAACATTTCGAGGAGGTACATCCAATTTCAGCAGCTGCAGAGACAATGGCCGAAGAGAATGATTCCTTGAAGATGGCTTCCCTAAGGGATGCCCGGGCTGTGGTTCAGAAAGGAAATTGTGCACACTGGGGTCAGCTTCCTGACTTCACTCAGAAGAACGACAAGTTTGGGCTAGGCTTTACTGCAGAGGCTCAGAAGGCGGTGCGCAAAGAGAAGATCGGAAAGACTCCGGTGTTTATTTCCAGCTCAAGGGTGAATGCTATTGAGGAGGATGTGGAGGAAGCTGAGTTTGACAGTTGGATCTACCCGACTACCAGCAACGGACCAAGCAACTGGACGGCAAAGGATTTTACCCCTATCACATTTGTCACGCAGTAATTGATTTCTTTTGATTTCCAATTTGTAACAAACAATATGTTAAAACTCTGTTGGCTCGGTGTCCTACCCGGGGCATCGTAGCTCCATTTGTGAGGGCTTTTTGTATGACATTTTCATATATCATCAATCAAAACATTGGACGTTTGTTGCATTTCAAATCTTTTGCTCTTTTCCTTTCTGTGTTATATTGCAAAACGGCTGTATTTACACACACTCACTTATACAGGTTTCAATCCACTCTGGATCTCACTGGTAACAGCTCTGCTACCGCCAGTTATGACTTCGAAAATCCGATCAACTTGGCCGAAGACGAAGGTGAAGATAATTTAATAAATATAATCACTCCATTAATATTTTAAATGCTTATGTGAATAATTAGAAATAATGGTGTTCTCATTTCACATTTTTTGGTCCATGAAGTTATGATCTTAGGTTGTGATCTTCGTTCTACCATTGTTCAACTTTCATTTGCAAGGTTTTGATTTCATGTTTTGTTTTGTTAGATGTTTCTATATAGGGTTTTGAACTAAGTTTGGATTTGATTCATCTGACAGTAGTTCTTGGTTGTGTGATTTAGATATTGCAGTTCTGGTCTTGAAGAGGGCTTGTAGTAAAGTGGTTTGTTGAAGAGATGGCCAACTGGACTGGGCTTGTTGCGACAAACCTATACTCAAGTGCTTTTACTTTTCAATTTTATATGCTATTGGTGTTGTGAATTAATTTGGTCCTACACATCCTGCCACTGCTACTGCTACTTGTATAATACTTGGTATGCTACTTGGTATGTTGTTTGGTGTTTGATAGTTTCTTGAAGTATAGTTATGTAATGGTGTTGGACTCATTCAATTGTGACGAAGGTGTTTCATTTTAGGATTTTGATATTTGTTTTGCAATGATTTCCTCACAACTCTCAAATTTGTATATTGTTGTTTCTAGTTTTTAAAAAGTTATGTTTTATATTTAAATAGAACTTGGTTGATATGATTTTCTCAAATGAAGTTGCATTAGTAAAGTACATGGTGAGAGATTTTTGCAAATGATGTGGATTATGTGGCTGTTTGTGATATTGCTTTAACTTTTAAATCCTTGTTCTAAATCTATCAGGTTACCAAACTCACACGTAACTTATTATTCCAACTTATATTCAAAATTTTTAAATTTGATATTTGTATTATATTATATTGTAAATTAAGTCAAATTTTCTTTAAAATAAAAATTCCAAAAATATTATTGGGCTTAACCCGCACAAACCATCCGAAGGAACCCGTGATCCGCATAGACCCAATCCGCTAAAACCGAGTTAAAAAATGGGTAGAAATGGACTTAGTTATTCCAACAGCTGTTTGGATTAGGTGACACTTTTGAAACTGAACTCGTCCAATTTGGCCCCTTGTCCACCCCTAGATATGACTATGGCACTTTTGAAACCGAACTCGTCCAATCCGGCCCGTTGTCCACCCCTAGATATGACTATTCTGTAAAATGCAAAATTGAATATTGAAACTACAAATGTGTGATAGAAGATTGAATGATTGATAGGACAGATAATATGCTTAAAACTTGTACTACTTTTATCTTATTTTCTTATTTGTATCTCTTTAAAGATATATTTTTATGTTTGCTTTCATGTTAAGATTGATAGATTTGAAGGTAAAAAAACTTATAGATTTCTTAAAGTTGTTTAAAGAAGAGTCAAGTTAGTCTCTTGAAAAAACAGAACAGTTAAAAATGAAAATCATGCAAACGATATTAGTAAAGCTGAATAAAAAATGAAATACGAAAACAAAAAATACAAGCCACCTAGAAAGATATCACTATAATATATTCTGCATATAAACAAAGTCAATATGAATAAAAGTTACACAATTATCATAATAGTGGCACTTTTTTATATAAATTAAACTTAAAATGCAAACGCCAAAGAAATGAAAAAAAGAAAACGAAAGTGAGAAAGTGACTCTTATTCACTCATTCTTTACTAAATATTAAAAAGTTGAAAAGATAAGCATAGTTCAAGTTTTAGTTAGTTTGAGAAGTAATATATTCTTTGCATATAGGTATATTGTTAGAGAACCATACGAAGAGTATTTACATGATTATGGTATGATTTCAAAATTGAATTCAAAGTATTGTCTTTCACTTCCGCATGCTTATATAGAATCTTTATTTCAAATACGAATTTTCAATTCAAAGAATTGAAAGTCTTTGTAGAGAGGGTATTGATGCAATGCAACCCAACTGAGTCCCCAATTTTTTCAAAACATAATTTACTATAGTTAACATCATCTTATATTTAGAACATTTTTTATTATTTATATATATATATATATATATATATATATATATATATATATATATATATATATATATATATATATATATATATATATATATATAGGTGGATACACCATACGGTCAGCTTGGGCAAATGCCCAGGCTCAACGGCCCAATTTTTTTTTTAGTATCCAGCTCAAATTTTTTTTAGTATTAAATAAAATTAAAAGAAAAAGAAAAAATAGTGAAAGTTAGAATTGAAAAAACCTAAAATTAGGAAAACCTACAGAGAAAAAAAAACTGTCAGCCGCTGCTCACTTTTCTTCATCATGTTCAATCTGTGTTCTTCTATCTGTTTAATCCTTGTGCAATCTATCATCATTCCTATAGGCTATATTATTTCTACAGGCTATATAGCAGGTAATATAAATTTGGTTATTAAATAGTAGATGCAATGTGTGTTCTCTTTCTTTCTATATAATATAAATATACTAGAAACTATATGTGTTTTATAAAATACTATTTGGTATGTTATGTTTGTCACAGAGATAATCTAGATTACTAATATGTTGGCATAGTAATAGATAGACACATATATAATTCTTGTCTTTTTGTACTTTTAGATAGACATACATGATACATAGACACATGTATGCTTAAATACTTTGTATTTTTAAGCCACTAAATTAGTACAAAATTGAATTTATATAATAGATAGACATAGATACATAATAATTTGCCTTGTTTAATTTCATGTTTGATTCTAATTTATTTATTAGAGTTTAGGTTGATTGATTAATCATGTACTAATTTATTTATTTATTAGAGTTTAGGTTGTTTGATTAACCATATACAATTACAAATACTAATTTATTTATTAGAATTTAGGTTGTTTGATTTTTATTATTTTAAATTTTATTTTATTTATTTGAAGAACATTGTTAATTCTTATTTGTTTTATTTGATTATTATTCTTTTAAATTTTGAAACTACAATTTTGTAATTATTTTATCTTTTGTTTAGAGATGAGGAAATTTTTGGTTGCTAGAGAAAATATTGAGAATGTGAATGTTGTGCAATCGGAAGTCGAATTAGAACCACCATCTAATGTGGTTAATGAGTTTAATCCAAATGAGATTGTGCGAGATCCAGGTCATAGGAAACAAATTAATGAGTATGCTCCGGATATTCAAGACCAAGTGAGGAGGGCATATATATTGAAGGGTCCAATGCAACCAGATTTGCCAAGCTTTCCTCGTACTACATTTGGGAGTGTTAAAAGATCATTTAGTAAATCATGGTATAAGAATTATACATGGTTAGAATACAATGAGATAAAGGATGCAGCTTATTGTTTTTATTGTTTTCTCTTTAAGAAACCCGGGAGGGCCGAGCACTTTGGTTTTGAAGTCTTCACTAAAAGTGGATATAGAGATTGGAAGCATGCATCTCAAGGCTTGAAAGATCACGTTGGTAGTCATAATAGTTTGCATAACTCATGTGTCAAGCACTATGATGATTATAATAATCAAAGACAAAGTGTGACAAGTAAGTTTGCTAAAGCAACCAAGGAATCAGAAGAATTATATAAGATTCGTTTGACTTGTTCTTTAGATTGTTCAAGATATCTCATAGAACAAGGCATGACTTTTCGTGGCCATGATGAATCCTCTACTTCTCTAAATAAGGATAATTTTAGAGAGATGGTAGATTGGGTAAAATCTCAAAATGAACAAGTGAGGGACGCTTTTGACCGTGGTGGAAAAAATTGCACAATGACTTGCGGTGACATTCAAAAGGAGCTTGCAACATGTTGTGCACATGAAGTTACCAAGGTGATTATGGAAGAGCTTGGTGATAGACAACTCTCCGTGCTTATTGACGAGTCACGTGATATATCCGTCAAAGAGAAAATGGCGGTGATGTTGAGGTTAGTAGTTGTATTTTCTAATTTTCATGACCTATTATTTTTTATGCCGCCAAGTAAACTTGTTGAATTTATTTTAGGTTTTTGAATGACAAAGGAAATGTTGTGGAACGATTTATTTCTCTACATCATGTCAAAGATACTACATCTGAGTCATTAAAGAATGCTCTTTATGGTATTCTTGATAAGTACACGTTATCGATTTCAAGGATACGAGGGCAAGGATATGATGGAGCTTCAAATATGAGAGGTGAATTTAATGGTTTGCAAAGAAAAATTCTAGATGAAAATCCTTATGCTTTCTATGTTCATTGTTATGCTCACCACTTGCAATTAGTTGTTGTGTCTGTTACTAGTAGTTGCTCATCTATTCATGATTTCTTTGAGTACATCTCCTTGATTGTGACCACAACAAGTGCATCTTGTAAGAGGAAGGATGCTTTGATAGAGGCACAACACCAAGATATTTTAAATAAACTTGAGAGTGGTGAGATATATAGAGGAAAGGGCTTGCACCAATCATCTAATCTCACAAGACCTGGGGATACTAGATGGGGTTCACATCATACTACATTGCTTCGTTTGGATCAAATGTGGCCCTCTGTGTTAAAGGTACTTAGTATGGTTGATGAAGATGGACGTGGACCGTCTTAAGCAGCGGGTTTGATAGAAAAAATGGAGAGCTTTAAATTTGCTTTCATTTTGAAATTAATGTTAAAGTTGTTTGGTATCACAAACGAGCTTTCAAATGTCTTGCAAAGAAAAGATCTTAATATTGTGATTGCCATGGAATTAGTTGATGATGTCAAAACTCGATTGGCCACAACGAGAGAGAGTGGTTGGGATAATTTATTTTCTGATGTCCAAGATTTTTGTGTTGCTAAAGGTATTCCAGTTCCAAATATGGATGATGAAATGCCGGTTCGGGGTCGTTCAAGGGTAGAAGGGAGGACTGTCACTAATCTTCATCATTACCGTGCAAAGATTTTTTATGTTGCTATTGACAAAATATGTATGGAGATGGATCATCGCTTTAGTGAAGAAAGTAACATTATCCTTAATTGTTTTTCATGTCTTGATCCCAAAAACTCTTTCTCCAAGTTTAATGTTGATAAGCTTGCTCGTCTTGCGGATATTTATCGTGTAGACTTTTCTGATGATGACCGAGGAACAATAAGGGATCAACTTGAGACTTATGTTCTTCAAGTGAGAAGAAATGCTTCATTTTCCACTTGTGAAGATGTTCAAAGTTTGGCTATGAAGATGGTTCAAACTGAGAAACATTTAGTATTTCCATTGGTTTATAAACTTATTGAGTTAGCTTTGATATTGCCGGTGTCGACAACATCCGTTGAAAGAGCTTTTTCAGCAATGAAGATTATCAAGTCTAAATTGCGCAATAAGATCAATGATGTGTGGTTCAATCACTTGATGGTATGTTACACTGAGCGGGAGATATTCAAATCACTTAATGATATTGATATTATTCGAACATTCACCGCAAAAAAGTCTCGGAAAGGACATTTGCCTCGTAATTTTATTTAACCCGCTATTGTAAGGTTATATTTGTCTCTTTTATTTTAAACTATATTTTTGTGGACAAAATGGCGAGTCTCTGTTATTTTGATTGATGAGTATTTATATATTATATACAATGTGAAATTGCGATCTTTAATTTTTTGCCCAGGCTTTATAATATTTCTCGCTTCGCCACTATATATATATATATATATATATATATATATATATATATATATATATATATATATATATATATATATATATAAGAGAATTAAAAATTCTTAATTCTGATTACAAAAAGTGAGACAAAGCTCGACAGCCAAATGACTACAAACGAAATAACTTATGATAAATAAAACAAAGGAAACTTATAATTATAATGAGGTAAACCATCAACGTAATACAAAGAAACACCGTTAAAAACTCTACCATGACCAACAACAACATCAGCGGAAACTCTATCGATTGTGAAACAACAGATTCTAGCTTTTGTTGCTATTCCTTTGAAACAACTACATCCATAACAGTGAAATGATGATGTACATATACATATTGGAGGAGCGTCCCTTCAAAATTTTCACTAATGGCACTTGATTTTTTTAATTTAAAATCAATTGAATGATTTTTGTTTTGTAATTTAATATGGAGTCAAACGACTGTCTTAGGAAATCAGAGTCATGATGCCAAAGTACATGTATGTTCACTGACGTAACAATTTGGTGAAAAGGGTTATGATGATGACGTAGATAGATCACCTTGAATAGTAACGATAAGTCACTAAAACGTCACGTATCTTCCATCTTGTACATTTAAAACTGGGATTTTTTAGGCGCATATGTTAGGATAAGAAATTTAGCTGAAGAATTCGACAATAAATGGTAATGACCATGTTTGAAAATGCAAAGTAAAAAGACTCAGTCGTGGTTTCTGTTGGAAACTCACTAAATTCTATGATGAATTTCTACCACAATGACAATTTAATTATGAGACAAACAAAGAAAGAAGACAAGACAAATAATTTCTGCAAAGTTTCTCTCTGCTCACAAACTGTGAAAACTTTATTATTCACTTTGCAACTGCAAAATACTGTGAATGACTTGATTGACTTGCTTACAAAATATAGGGGTTACTCCCTCTATTTATAACTAAACTTACACCCTAAGTCCAAAGCCCAAAATATCTATTTTGTTACTAAGTCAAATCTAATCTATTCTAGACTTAAATCAAATATATTCAAATCTAAAACAAATCAAATCTTTTCGACACATAGTTTCGACACACTGAATTACAATTTAACACACCACCTAATTCATTATGTCTAAACTATTTATGTGCATCATGGCTCTTAGCTTTCTGAATATTTCGACTTGCACTCCCTTCGTCATGATGTCTGCAATTTGATTCTCAGTTCTGCAGTGTTCCAAATTCATCTTCTCATCTTCTACCTGCTTTCGAAGATAATAGAACCTCATTTAGATGTGCTTACTTCGACCATGTGCTATTGGGTTCTTTTCCAGATTAATAGCTGACATGCTGTTGATTTTCATGGTAATTGCTCCATGATCTTTCCATGTTATCTCTTCGACCAAGTTCACCATCCAAGTTGCTTGACATGCACAAAGAGAATCAACTATGTATTCTTCTTCACATGATGATAATGCCACTACTGGTTCCTTTCTTGAATTCCAAGCAACTGGTGCACCACCTAGCATTAACACATATCCTGTTGTTGACTTTCGATCTTCAGCATCACTACACCAACTCGAATCAGTATATCCCAATAACTTGCATTCTTTTCCTTTATCAGCTACAGGAAACAAAATTCCATTACCGAAAGTTCCTTTGAGATACCTTAGTATCCTCTTCACTGCTGCTAGATGTGATACCATTGGCTTTTGCATGAATCTACTTACCATACCTACACTGTATGCTAAGTCAGGCCTTGTATGAAAAAGGTATCTCAATGATCCAATAAGTCTTCTGTATTGGGTTGGAACAACATCATCTTCATCTGCATCTTTCGACATTTGCAGTCTTGGTTCTGCAGGTGTCGAAGTTGAGTTTCATTCTTCCATCTCAAACCTCTTGAGAATTTCTCCTGCATATCTTCTTTGATGCATCATCAAACCTCTACTGCTCTTGTAGAATTCGATACCAAGGAAATATGAAATCTCACCCAAATCAGACATTTTGAATTCCTTGCTGAGATCACCTTTGAAGTCTTCGATCTCACTCTTGCAGCTACCTGTTATCAACAAATCATCTACACAGAGACATAGTATAAGCAATTTACTCTTGCTTCTTCTTACATATACTCCATGTTCAGTTGTGCACTTCACAAATTCCTTCTCCCTTAGGAAACTATCAATTTTCTTATTCTAAGCCCCTGGAGCTTGTTTCAATCCATATAGGACTTTATGCAGCTTGTACACCTTTCTTTCTTCGTCATGTTTCACAAACCCAACTGGTTGTTTAACATAAACTTCTTCTTCTAAGGGTCCATTTAGGAATGCACATTTCACATCCATCTTACATATGTGCCAACTGTTTATTTCTGCTAGACCAACAACCAACCTGATTGTTTCGATCCTAGCAACGGGTGAAAAAACTTCATCAAAGTCTATTCCTTCTTTCTGTAGAAATCCTTTCGCCATAAGCCTTGCTTTCTGTCGAGTTACTTCCCCTTTTGAATTCGTTCTCACTTTGTATACCCACTTGACATCAATTGCCTTCTTGCCTTGAGGCAATTCGACAAGTGACCAAGTGTTATTGTCTTTGATAGGTTTCACTTCTTCGTTCATTGCTTTCACCACCTTCAAACCCTTCAATGCTTCAGCTGCATTAACGGGTTCGACACCTGTATGGAAAGCATAATGTACCAGCTCACCTTCATCATCTATCACATCTTCTGATGTAATCACACAATCTTGCAATCTTGCAATCTTGCAGACATGTGTCTTGTTCTTTGAGTTCTGCTAGTACTTGGTATATATGTTGGTTCCTCTTGTTAAACTTCTCTTTTGACTCGAGTTTTTGGTTCTTCGAATAGGACTCCCGCTGAATCTTTCTTGACATTTTCAGTCCAATCTCATTCTTTAAACTCATCTATGATCACGTCCATGCTGATCACAATCTTCTTTTTCACTAGATCGAACAACTTGTAGCCTCCTGTCGAATGAAATCCAGCTAGAATTATTTGACTTTACTTGTCATCAAGTTTTCTTCTCAACTGATCTGGCGCATGTCTATGTGCAATAGATCCAAATACCTTCAGATGACTCAAATTAGGCTTCACACCAGACCAACATTCTTCTGGAGTAATTCCTTCTAGCTTCTTTGTAGGACATCTGTTTAAAATGTATGTTGTAGTCGAAACAGCTTCACCCCAAAACTCTTTAGGTAAATTCTTTCATTTCAACATACTTCTCACCATATTCATGATGGTTCGATTCTTCCGTTCTAGAATTCCATTTTGTTGTGGAGTATAGGGTGGCACCACCTCATGCACAATCCCTTCCTTTTCACATAGCCTGTCGAAGTCTTTCGACACATATTCTCCACCACCATCAGTTCTCAAAACTTTGAGCTTTCGACCACTCTGTCTTTCGACCATAGACTTAAACTTGGCAAATACTTCGATCACTTCACTTTTCTTCTTGATCAGATAAGTCCACGACTTCGAATGAAATCATCTATGAATGTAACAAAGTATTTGTTACCTCCCATCGAATCCACCTGGATTGGTCCACATACATCAGAGTATATGACTTCAAGAATAACCTTCGATCTGCTTCCTGCATCCTTGCTTAAGCTATTCTTGTGTTGCTTCGCCTGCACACATTTCTCACATACTTCGTTTGGAATGTCAATTTCAGGCAATCCTGAAACCATATTTTTTCTCTTCAAATATCTGATGTCTCTGAAGTTGAGATGGCCTAGACTATAATGCCATATCCATTCATCTCTACTAGCTATAGTCGAAAGGCACTTGTGCTCCATCACATTTAGTTCAATCTTGAAGGTTCGATTCTGAGACATAGGAGCCTTCAAGATTAATCTCCCATTTGCATCAACGACTCTCATCATCTTATCTTCGATTGAAACTTTATAATTCTTTTCAACCAACTGCCCTA